CTTGGGCCAGGAGTATAAAGTGTGCTCAGTCCCGTGGCAACGTGGGCATATCCCGCGGTTAACCCCCACCCATCACTGAGGGGTCGGTGATGAGTGGTCCAGGACATAGTCTAGTGTATACCTGGATATCAAAAAAATAAAAAAAAGATAAAGCATAACATCGTCTTGCTAAGTTTACACTACTCACATAGCACTTGTTTGAGCCCCATGCCCTTGTTTGAGCCCCATTTTTAGAGAAAAAAAAATTAAATTTTAAATAGTAATTTTTGGAAAAATGTGTAGTTAAAAATTAAGAAAAAAGTTTTTGATTTACATGTAATATTATTTTATTGAATAATGTATGATAAAAAATGAGTTTTAAAAAAATGTTTTTCTGATAAAATGGGGTTCAAACTAGCTTAGGGGCCGTTTGATTCTCATTGTTGTAGAATGAGAATGAAAAATATAGTCGTTATTGGGCCCCACACAAGAGATAGAAATTTAAAATTGATGACTTGATGTGATGGATAACGGATCATATTTTTCATTTTTATGGATGAAAAATGAGAAACAAACGGATGTTTATACCTGAATAAGATGTTCAATACTTGACTCAAGTTACATATGTCAAAATGTGAGAACTATCAACTATATGCTTATCATGCTTATTTAGCCCATGTTTGGTTTAGCTAAAAATTAGTTTTTAATATATTTTGATAAAAGTCGATAAAATTTGTGAATGAAAATTTGTAAGCCTTTGTTTGGTACTCAATATTTTCAAAATACATTTTCTCATTCTTCAATTACATTCTTCAATAAAATATTATTACGTGCAAACCCAAATTTTTTTTGTATTTTTTAACCACACATCTTCCATAAAAATGCATTTTAAACAAAAAATAGGACTCAAAGAGGATCAATCTCATAAAATATGGAGTTGAAAGGTTATGGAACCATACGCATAAAACAATCCTAGCCCGTCTATGTTTCAGGCAGCTATAGGTCCACAGGCACGGCAACAGTATTTGGCTGGCACAGCTTGGCCCAGCCCTGCCAGTGTCTATAGTGCACATGCCGATCCAAGGACCCCCGTGTTCCCTCTTGTAGCAATGTCCGGTTATGAAATCACATATTCTTGATCCAAATACAGGTTAAATTAGAATTAGCACAAAAATTCAGGAAACTTGAAAATTCATATAATGTCCCGCAAAGTTCAATACCTAATCTTTCTT